TTTAAGTGAATTTTGTTGAAACATTTTTAGAGGAATAAAATAGGAAGATGTATTATATGTATTGTATAAGTTGTTCATACAGAATGTTTGATAACACTTTTAATATAAAATTATAAATTTTAATATTTATGTCTTGTTTGTTTTATGTTACTTAACTTTTTCGTTTCTTTAATCTGTAGTTAGATTGCTAACAAATATTTGAGAACTATTCTGGTTTATTTGGTGAATTTTTGATATTAAATTATTGAAGGAAAAGTGAAAATGAAAAGTTAATGTAAGAAAACGTGTGAGAGCATATTAAATTTGTTATCTTTATATGCTATCAAATATACTTTTATGAGATTTGTTAACATATGTTTACTTATTTTTTTAGTTGAAATAGATTGACAACCATACCTTAAATTATCTTAAGTTACATACTTCAACTAATAGATGTATCTTAACAAATAGTTTGATGTTTAATTATATCCTTTTCCTTTTCTGAAGAAATATATTAAGAAGTTATAAATTCAATTTTCTTATAATGCATCGATAATGATAACTTAGGTTTAATGTCTCAATAGATCCTTATTTTCACCTAAAATTTTAAATAGGTCTCTTTCTTTGTCGACATCTCAATTGAGTGCTTATTTTTGTAAAATTGAATCAAATAGGTCATTTCCGTCAAATTGAAAAAATTTAGAAATATAATTTCATAACCAAATTGAATAAGTTTTATTACTTATCAATTAACAATTAAATTTTTTAAAGAAGTGTTAATTATTAGTTATTTATTGCTTTTAAAAATCACAAAACATTTTAATATGTTTTCAGTTAATTACAGTTTTAGCTCTTCTACATAATCAATATGCCATTAGCTCATGTATATTTTGTGCTTAAATTGAAATCATTATCTTCCTTTTTCTTCCCTAAAAGCTATGCAGAGTTAAACGATTAAATTGTGTCAAACTCTCGAATCAAAATCGATCAATTATAACATTTTCTAATAGGAAAACGTTAAATTTTTTATTATCTTTTTTTGAAAAATTTACTTTAGTTTTTTTATAAAGTTTCCTAGTTAAGTTTATCATTATTATCATATTTTTTCTTTATAAAACATTTTCAAATTCATCATAAGTTTCAAATATAGAGTGCGGAAAATGGTTGCCTTAAAGCAGCAGACGACGCAACTAAGCAGCCTCCACACTCAACATCTTTTTGATTCCAGCAAACCCTAAATGATCGTCATGTATGTCGTATGGTAAGTTTAAACATTTAATAAAACTCCTATCTCTTTCTTCTCATGTTTTATCAAGTTATGCCAGACCTATGGTTTGCCAAACTATAGTCGACCCTAAAATCAAGGGTTATAGGTCCAAAACCTTTTTTCCGATAAAGACCATTATCAACAAACCCTTAGCCACCAACTTCACTTCTTTTTTTAATTAGCATTAACAAATAAATTAGTAAAAAGGATACTTGTTATACAAAGTCAATTATATATATACATAGATGATATACTATCCTTATATACATAGATGATATACTATCCTTATAAGATTTCAAATATTTTGTTATCTAAAAGTATGTATTTTTTAAAATATGGATATTTTTGTATATAGTATATGTTGTGCATTATTTCTCATGTTATTAGTGCAATAGTTTTCTATACAATGAATTATTATGTTGGTTATAATCTATCCTCTCTAAACAGTAACAAAATTGTAAATATGGTAAGTATGAATTATCATTAGAATGAACATAAAAAATGGATGTGATGACCATTTCATAATAAACACTAGTGCAGTCAAGGGAAACAACAACGGTTATTTTTATCCATATATAGCGGTTCCGCAATCGAGGTATATACTGGCGAGGTAAAAAGTCTACCTTTTTTTTCCCTCAGTTCTGAACCGAAGCAAAAAAGTGTATGCTTTTGCCTCGATTGAAATACAACCGAGGTAGTAGAGGGATCTTATGCCTCAGTTTGTAGTTGAACCGAGATAGTAGAAGAGTTTATTTATTTTTTTTCCTCAACCTTTCTACAACAAAGGCTACAATAGAGGGGGTTTAAGTTTTTATTCCTCAATCAACAATCATTTGGGAAAAGCTCCAAAGCATTGAAACCAAAAGTTGTAAACAAGAAATGATGAGTTACTTTTGAAGTATACTAATTTCATTCACAAAATATACAAGTGTGAAGTGATGTGAATATCATCATCAAATAGAATGATGAGGCTAAGAGCATCACCTATTGAGGAGTCTGAGCAGTGCATTTGCTTTTCTTCTAGCTATCAAAGATCCATCGAAAGTCAGGCTTTAAAGAGAAGGAATACTTCTTGGATTTGCCAAGAGTCTTCTTGCTACCGCTTCTCCCTCTTCTTTGCATAATCCAAGCAAAGGTTATTGAATTTTTCTTCCCTTTCACTAAACAAAATCTCAGAAGATCAATAAGAAGTGACACCAATGCTTTACTATTTCTTATCTCTTCCAATCCCTCAAAGCACCAGTGCATCATCTGTAATGCCAGCCTTGTCATCCATGAGCAATTCTACCAGCACAACAACTACACCAGCCTTAACAGCACTAACTTTGATAGGATTGTACAACTACAAAGGCTTTTGTAA